CTACCACGGAGGTATAAAAGTTACTCCTACCATAGATGTATAAATGTTACTCCTAACATTGAGGTATAAAGGTTACTTCCACCATTGGCAGATAAAATGCTACCGCCACCATAGACATTTAAATGTTACTAACATTATAGACAGAGACAGATACAAGTTCTCTCTTGCCCCAGACAAATAAAACAAAGTTACTTCTACCATAGACAGATACAAAACGTAACAAAGATGTGTGGAAATCAATCCAACACAAACGAGGACTAATTACCAGTAACAGACTAAAGCCTTGCACATTTTTTGGACACAAGAAGAGAAAAACTGGTGTGCATCGCAACAACAGCGAAGTTGGAAGGCAGACAAACAGACAGGCAGGCAGGCAGACAGACACAGATAGACAGAGCGAGAGAGAGAGAGAGAGAGAGAGAAAGAAAGAGAGAGAGAGAGAGGGCGGTGACATTGTTTGCCACAGTGGCAAGAAAGAAAACCCGTGTCATAAATGATCGACAGTGCACAAAATAGAAGGCTGGGAACAGACTTGATTGACGACCACACACGGCATAGACTGTAAGAAAAAAATCGAACAACACTGACTGCCTTTGTTCCGTGTCTGTTAATACCGTCATGAAAGTATACCATAAACTTGACTCTGAGACCACAATTACAAATTAGCCTCACTGACTGACTGACTTTCTACCTCACTAGGACATCACACAAGCGATAAACACCCAATGACACAATGTGCCACCATGTGGGTGAGGATCACCGTGGAGAGGTTCCAGAAACCGCGTTCAGCCTTTAGGCCATATTTATGGCCAGGCTATATTGCGGCCCCAGGCAAAGCCAGAGTAGGGCTTCAAATAACGAAAAATGTCATTATGAAAAGGACGAGAGATGTTCATAGGTTTTATTTAGCCTCACCCACACACACAACCCTATCAACATCCACACCCACCCACCCATATACTGTGGAAAAAAGTGCTTAGTTATCCCAACGCGTGTATTTATTAGTTGACAGAAAAACCTGCACGCTTAAAAACAATCAAGAATCCCGATGTAAAAGAATGTCAATTGATTGTTTTAACCGTAAGGTATTCTTGTGTGAAAATTTGAACCATTTCCCACATTAAATCACCAATAATTTAAACTTATGACCCTTTAATAGCAACGCTTCTGTTTTTATAAGTAGTACACATAAAGAGTTGTGTACTAATTTCCTGTATAGTCAGGTTGGAATGAGGAAGTTGTGCTGGACTGTTGTAAACAAGGGCTACAACACTTATTTTAACAACGTAAATTTATTTTCATAAACAACAAGGCGGGGGAAAAGAACCCAGAAAAAAGATTGACATCTCGTTATCTCCCTGACTTTCTACGAAACAGGATCTTTTGGACTGTGATTGACAAGTGAAATTTTCCTGTTAATAGCTGATAAACAAACACAGTGTCGGTCGCTTTTACCAAGCAAGTATTGTTAGTCACCCACGCCATCATTGTGATTGCAATTCCAATGACTCCCAACGTAAAAAATATAGTTACGTATACGCTTTACAGTCGGCTCAGTGGCTAAGTCGATGCGAACGCTTCGTAATGCCGAGATCCCAGCTGCGGTCCATGCGCCTTTCGTTGGTTTCGACAGTGGTATCATGAAAGCCGACCGTCCATAGAGCAACTACTGGACGTAAATTTGCCTTAAAAAAACCACGCCAATGCAAGGAGCTGTTGGGGTTGGTTCTGCAATGTCCTTGTATCCTTTACAGGCCGTTTCAGAATCAACCCCACCTATTGTTTATATATTTTTTGGGGTGTTATGGTTTTTTCTATGCAAATTTATGTAGATTCTCGAGACCTCAGTGTGGGCAAACGCAAAACGGCCTGCTGCCAAATCGCCTGCAGCTGGAATCGACCTCGGTATTACGAAGCGCGTTCGCAACGACTAAGCTACAGATTGTGACGATTCCCTATAAGTTAGTAAGTAAAGGTAAAAGGTAAAGTAGGGATATGTGAACTACCGTCATTGCACACGGTTATAAACCATAAGTGCCCTGCTACCAGCACGGACAGCTGATAAGAAACTGGCCGCCTGTGTCGCCGTCCGCATGCAACTCCGTAGCTACAGCGACGAACCTTCATTTACCCCAGATTGTTAACTCTCGTACCCATTTCCTAGAGGCTGGGTGAACCCCGGGAACTGCCCGGTTTCTAACACTGGCCGTGGCTGCAGCGAGTCGCAGCTGGATTTGAAAGCGAGTCGCCTATCGACTGTGCTGACGCATCCGGTAAGTAAGTAAACAAGTAAATGATCCCATTCACGCCATTGATGCTTGGGGCGTATGATACTAGACTCAGATTTGTATAGGCAAATCCGTACTTGATGGTGATCCGTGTGTGACAGTACTGGCTATGACCACTGACGCTCCCCTAGTTACCTTATAGTTTAGGGCAGAAGTTAGATATATATATTAGAAGTTAGAGGATGCGAGTGCTTACACAACTTCGATGAGATTTTCGTGTCGCCTAGCAACCGGCTTTCCCCTAATACTTTCGGCTAAAAACCAGATAGGACTAGTTACATTCAAATCATGGATTAATAGTTCTGCAACCAATCACAGTGCCCTGTCTGACCAATAAATAGAACGTAACAGATGGCGCTCCCTCTTTTGGCGCATGCGCATGGCTGGGGTCACGTGGGTCGTCCATTTTGAGCGGAAGCCGCCATCTTTCGGTCTTTTCATTTTCAAACGTGGTCGAGTGAAGATCGTTAGTTTTTCAAGTGCAGTATTCAGACTAGCGAGTGTAGTTCTATATTAATTCGTTCTGGATTTCTGTTGTGATTTCTGACCGATCTGAGGGCCCTGCGGCATTTTTCATAACACCAACGACTCAACGACCAGTACACAATTGTAGCCATTGTCCTGTCGCCAGAGAATCGGCACAGACAAAGAGACAGTTTAAGGGATTTAATCCCAATATTTTTAACCGACCACGTGTCGTAGTTGTAACCGACCACGTATCGTATGTTCTACACGACCATGTGTCGTATCTGAACTTTAAGAACTTCAGCAGTGGATTATTTACAAGAGGATATCCCAAGAAATTGCAGCTACCACAGCCAAGTATTCCTGTTTCCCCATCAAGTCCAACCTTTGGGAGTATCCACGGGTGAGCTGTACTCGTGCGGGGAAGGAACTGGACCCAGTAGACATTTCTCATCCCTTATGATGATACCCATTGTGGTTTAAAAACAAACACCAAACCACTGTCAATTTTTAGCCCGTCAGTCGTCAGTAAAATTAAAGCGACATCATTCTTCATTCACTACTATTCTCGTCTGTCTGAGTAATAGTTGAGTGAGCGAAAAGGGGGCATTCTTCGCTTTCTCTCTCAGGGGGCTCTTTCTTTAAAAGTGGCAGAGGAGTTGCCACCAGGATAACTAGTCTGCCTAGCACCACTCATCGGAGCGGGGTAGACTTATCTTCTTGTCCTCTGTCCCAGGAGTAATATCTCGGTCTCTCTACCCTAGTAGACAATGAAGTACCATACTTCTAGTGAGCCACACATATAGACTGAAGATACCTCCTGTATAGGAACCCTACCCTTCCTAGGGCTCTCCTATAGTTGTGACACCGTGCGATCTTATCATCGTCATGTAGCAGGTTCTTTGCAGAACGCCGCTCTAATCAAAGTCTGCCTGAAAGAAACTCGGTCTCTCGCCAGCTCCCCCGTCTCATGTACTTTCATACTCAAGGGGTCACTTATATCCTGTGCCCGTCTTCGTGTTAGCTGGCCCCTGCCCCTCCTTCCTGGTACCACGTCTCTGCTATTATTTTTTCAAATCCTTCGTGGCGCTTGATATGACCGAAATATTTTAGCTTCCGAGACAAGATGCTGTTTACCAGCCAATCTTCCTTGATATTCAGATCTTTTAAGATGTCAGTTTTTCTTCTCTTCTTTGTCCAATATATTCTGAGAATCTTTCTATAGCATTTCAGCTCAAAAGCCCCTATACTCTTTCTAAAGGACTTTTCATTTTTGGCTTGCATTATAATTTTTAGGGTATAGTAATGTGGTAGTTTCCCCTTGCTCTCCACATCCACACGGCTTTAGATTACATCCTTAGCCTTAAGCAACATTTTCGATTGCTAGGGCAAGTGAGTGCCCCGATCTGTCATGCTCCTGTGTGATCTTCTACACGGCACAATATAAGACTATCGTTTCGCAAGACTGTGCCAACCATAGGGTCAGTTTTCCCGTCTACATTCGCCATGAACAGATATAAAACAAAACAAAAAGTGGACTAGCGAGCTTCACAATGTCACAAACACAGACGTAAAGTGAACGTTGCGACTACAGAGCCGTCTTCAGCACTTCCTTTTCCCTATTCAACTGGCAACTCGCAGACCAAATGTGGTCCGCGGAAGCCTTGCAGGTGGCCCGTGAATCATTGCCATTCGTACTGTATCAATGATCTTTATATACTAGAACTTGGGCCTTTGGTCCGTGACAATGGTCATTTTCCAAATGTTTGGCCCTTGAGTAAACTTAGCTGAATAGTTGCTTGTCGGCCTCTGTAACTTAAGCCCCTCAGCCCCCCCCCCACCCATAATTTTGAAAGAAGGTTAGGCACCCCTTAGATACCATGTATATAAATTTTATTTTTAATTACACTGCGTATTATTTCGAATGTGTTATATATATTTTTACCATTCAGAAGATTATTATTTATACTCTCTAAAACTAGGATATGCCTCTTGAAGTCCCCGTCAAGCATTTGTGGATAAAATATTTTAGCAACAAGTGGCGTGTGGATATGGGAAGTTCAACCCCGCCCCTCCCCCAGCCCCCCCCCCCCCCACCAGTGGTTTTATCAGTACAGGCGTGCGTTAGCAGGGGTTAACAAGAATTCCACCTTAATTTAACCCTATTTCATATATTTAAGTTACCATTAAATATAATTTACTCGATACATATATATATATACATTTATGTAACATAAAAACACTTACAGACAGTCCATTGTGGAATCCGCGATCGAAGCAGCTCACTGTGCCCTCTTGACTTAGTTTACAGACACATCCAGACACAACATGTCTGAGAAATATCAGTCTGTTTCCCCCTGAAGAGCCTTGACTTCTGGCACAGTTCACCTTAAAAGTCAGAACACCTAACCCTAATATTCCTTCAGAACACTTCGTCATGCACTAAATCCGCACACAACAAAAACGAGCCTTTATCAGCCTGCTAATCACAAAAAAGTCGATACATGTCACTTGCAGAGAAATACCCAACCCAGCTTTGTTTCCCCACTGTTCCATTAATTGTATTTTATAACAAATGTCTTCTACTCGCACTGAATTTACATCCAGATTAGGAATATCCTAGCTTGTTGTAATGAAGCACACAGTCAGGATCTTTTATGTAGCTCCAGAGTTGACTTCAACGGTCTTATCTAAGGTAAACAGCAATCATTATGCAAGTTTATACACACCGATATTGGAACGATCTGATAAGAGGCTGAAGGAACACACAGAGAACGTCACTCCCTAGTTGCAACTGCCATAAAACATTCAAATAAAGTCAGTTGCACAGTCACATTGCATGTAATTTGAAATATGTTGTTTAAAAAATAAAAACCCCAACTTGCACCAGGAAGCAATACCTTTCATTATCTTGGTGCTTGATTTCTGCACGCACTTACTATACATTCTAAATGCGTCTGCAGTAAACTCTAAATGCTTACATTTTAAAGGAATTAAAGAATAAATTCTGAATAGGCTTCCTATTGAAACATAAATGTTATTATCATTAAATTCCGTATAGGTTTTCTATTTAACTGTAAAGGGTTTTCAACTTTTAAATGGGCTTCTCATTAAATTTGACAACGAAAATCGTTTTTAAAGTCTGCTTCGTCGCAAATCCGAACCCAAGACATGGGGTCAAAGGCAGGACCCTCTTCTCTTCTCTCCTCTCATCTCTTCTCTTTTCTCCTCTCATCTCTTCTCTCCTCTCATCTCTTCTCTTTTCCCTTCTCTCATCTAATCTTCTCTCCTCTCCTCTCATCTCTTCTCTTCTCTTTTCTCCTCTCTTTCCTTCTCTTCTCTCGTCTCTTCTCTTCTCTTCTCCCATCCCCTCTCTTCTCTTCTCTCATCTCTTCTCTCCTCTCTTCTCATCTCTTCTCTCGCTCTTTCTCTCTCTGTACATGTGTGAATGTGTGTATTGTGATACAAGGCATAGCAAATGCGTCGCAAATAAACTTCAGTTAGACTGAAGCTACACAGGATACACAAACGACACTCCCCCTTGATAAGCCGCAATGGATCAAGCCAGCCTACAGCAGGTTCCCTTTCATCCGCATAGCTGGGTTATTCACGCCACATTCCAGTGCAGAGAATACTAAAGCGCCTTTGTTGAAGAATATCTGTCTTCACTGGCTGCTGACAACAGGCTCAACTGGAGGCATTTAAAAAACATACCAGAGGTATGTCGACACCGCGGTTATGTGTGAAGAGACTCTGCTCTTGATGACACATTTGTCACATAAAAAAAATTAATTAATAGTAGGATTTTCTGGGAGGTTAATAGGAGCGCTGGAATCTGGAAACGGGGTGTGGGTGGGTGGTGTGGGTGTCTCATGGTGGCCACATTGTAAAGTGGGAATGGGGAGGGGGGGGGGTGCTCCATAATCTATACATTTTTAAGTGGCTAAGTATTCAACACCCCCCCCCCCCTTTTTTTCAACCACACACAGAAGTTAACTTTTTAAGTATGTGTTTATATACTTGACACACACAGACATATTAGGGCTGTACCGAATATTCGCTTCGTATTCGCTTCGGGGCCGAATAGTGGACCTAATAACTATTCGGTATTCGGCCGAATAGTTGCGGTCGGGCCTAATACGAATAGTCGTTACATTACGCCCGATTCTGGACTGGTGGAATATAAACATATCAAGATTTCCCACCTTGGTTCATACTGTCAAGCGTTATCTTTTTGCACCACCTATGAGCGGAGAGGGCAAGGAAACAAACGGTCTGTATTCGAGAGAATAAGATCTGTAAAACTGATGCACACGCAACACTCAGGTTCAGTAGTGGACGATCAACCAGAACTTTCCGCCAGAGTCCAGAGTGTACAGCTGGTGAACTCGAAGAAGAAAAGAAGAAATGTTTATTATTCTGTACTACATTTTGTGAAGTAAAATTGCAGCGTACATTTGACATTATGGACGGTTTTTTTTTTAGATCTATTTTATACACGAAAGTGGAAGAATTGTCATCAGTTTAAATAGTGGGAAGACAGAAGTAATGGTGGTATAAAAGAAAATAATTAGTGTAAGACAGGGATGTATCATGCCATCTCTCCTCTTCAACCTTAAGATTTATTGGATAAAAAAAAACACAGTAGACAAGGCATCGAAAGGCATACGGTGGATTCCATTCCCCATGCTTGAGGACCTTGATTTTGCAGATGATATAGCACTCCTATCACATAAACATGAACATATACAAGAGAAAAGTAACAGACTACACAGCACAGCAGAAATGGTGGGACTGAGAATAAATACAAAGAAAACTAAGATCATGACAAACAGTCCAAACCAACAACTAGTGACCATTAGTAACCAATCACTTGAAAATGTAGAACATTTCACATATCTTGGCAATGTGGTGTCCCTACTGGGAGGGACAGAGGAAGACGTACATTCACGCCTGAACAAAGCTAGAGCTGCTTTTGGAAGGATGAGGCAAATCTGGAAATCCAACAGTAACTGCAGACGAACAAAACTCCGACTCTACAAGAGCATCATTTTGCCAGTTCATCTTTATTGAGCAGAATGCTGGAGAATGACCAAAAAGGATACACACAAGCTGTCTACCTTCCACCACACATGTCTACGTAGAATGATCAAAATTTTCTGGCCAGATACAATCTCAAGCACTAAAATACTTTAAGTCACAAACCAAGAAACTCTAGACAGTCTGATAACCAAGAGAAGATGGAACTGGCTTGGCCACGTTATGAGAATGAATCCTGATATACCTGCCAAAACAGCTTTCACATGGATACCAGAGGGAAAAAGAAAAAAAAGGGGCGTCCAAAAATAACATGGAGACGAACGATGGAAAGTGACCTGAGTGTGGCATCTTTGACATGGAAAACTGCATTGAAGATTGCACAGGACAGGAAAGCATGGAAAGTCCTCTCTGAAGCCTCACGTGCCACTAGGCATAACGAGAACTGACGATGAAAGAAAATAATTATTCGTAAATGTGAAATAAAAGTCAATGGTTTTATTTTGGGACAAATACAGAAATTCGAGTATTTGGGCACATTGATAACATCAGATGGAAGATGCATTACTGAAATAAGAAACAGAAAAGGACAGGCAAAAACTGCATTTTATAAAATGAAGAACATCTTATGCAATATATTTCTGTCATTGAAGGTCAGAAAAAGAATTCTTGCTCGCTTCATACATCCAGTATTAACATATAGCTGTAAGTCCTGGACGATCGGTTGGCAGGCCAAACAATTTCTTGAGGCCTCAGGCATGTGGTTTTACAGAACAATGCTAAAAATACATTGAACAGCAAAAAAAAAAAAAAAAAAAAAGCAACCAAGAGGTTTTGATAGAGGCGGGAGCCCGAAGACAACTACTCACAGACATCAGAAGAAGACAGTCATCATTTTTCGGCCATGCTATAAGATGATGGAAAATAGAACATGTGGTGACCACTGGAAAGATATGTGGAAGGAGGAATAGAGGAAGACAACGAGAGAAGATTCTTGACAGTCTTGTTGCATGGCATAGAGGTGTGTCAGCACACGAACTAATACATGCTGCAGGAGATCACAGATTGTGGCGAGGCATAATCGCCCATACCAGTCGGTAAAGCACCTGATAATGATGATTCACTATTCGTATTCGTATTCGGCCGAATAGTTGGTCCAGCTATTCGTATTTGGCCGAATAGTGAAAATCACTATTCGGTACAGCCCTAATACATATATGCATTTACACACATGTAAATATGTGTGTTGTATGTGTGTGTGTGTATATATATATATATATATATATAAATATATATATATATATATATATATATATATATATATATATATATATATATATATATATATATATATACACATATATACACATATATATCACGCTGTAAATATGTGTGTTGTATATATATATATATATATATATACACACACACTCACAATTACGCACCAAATCAGAACGTTGGTCTATTGAGGGCCCTTGTCCCACCAAAAAAAAAAAAAATGGTGAAATCCCTCCCCCCTCATGCTTTCTTTGTGTCGGTGCCCTTGGGTTTTAAATATCTTTATTTATATACTCACATACATTCTCACAAACACACACACACAAAAACACATCGCTTCACCTAACAAATATATTATGTAAGTGTGTTGGAGTTACAATTGTGTACACAAATCAATAGAGAAATGAAAACAACCTCAAGATTTCAAGAAGAATAAAGGATGTGGAAGAAAAAATGCGCAACTGTTTTTTTACTGCCTCTGTTTACCAAATTTTAGCGCGCGGGTCTTGACCCTGAGGGTCTTATCCATGACTTTTGACCTAGAAGATCTATGGGTGAATAGCTAGTGTATTTACCATGAACTGTATCGGTTATGGTTTTGACTTTTACCCCAGACAGAATAATAAATATATCTACAATCTTACCGGGTCCGGAATATGTTTGAGGGTCTCTAGCAAAGTGGTCAAGCCCTTTGCCTCGCGCTCTGAGGGTCGTGGGTTCGTTTTACGGATGCGCCGTTCATGCGCCGTCCCTTGGAACTTAAAAAGTTAAAAAGGTTGAAATCCCCCCCCCCCCCCATGCTTTCTTTGTGTCGGTGCCCTTGGGTTTTACATACCTATTTATATACTCAAATACATTCTCACACACACACACCCAAAAACACATCGCCTCACCTAACAAATATATTATGTATGTGTGTCGGAGTTACAATTGTGTACACGAA